AGTGCTAAGATGCTGACTAGTTGAAGCCTTATACATAAAAACTTAAACAACTAGGAGACTCTCCCTCCTCTCGGCCTCTAAAGGCTTGCGGGAGCTCCTGTATTGATTACGTGTTAAAAGGTTGCCGGACAAGGAACTCCGGCGCCGCCTGGCTTACAGGAGTATTTTGGGCATTGGTCGTAGCCCGATAAACAGCAGCCCTGTCCAGATGCGCGGTTCCTGGTGGGTTTTCGCCTTTGGCCGGATGCTAACCTCTTTATAAGGTCAAGCAAACCATTAAATGATACTACAGCCATTGTTGCTCTAATCCTGCCCAGGACATCAACGGCTATATCAATGGGCGGGGAACGAATTAAACACCTATTCGCCCTAGATCTATACGAGAACCTTAGAAGACTCCCGACGGTACCTGATAACCATACGAGCTTGGTCACAGAACCATGCGGTGCTAATTGCATTTGTTGCCGCATGATAAGCTCCTCTGGACTGATATCTGCATCATACACCGGACACCACTTCCTACCCCACCGTGACATTGATGAACCCTTCATGTGTAAAAATAGAACTATAGTTTATAACGTTTAAAATCTGTCGGATGCAGTATATCAGCCAAACTCAAAGAACCCTATAGGAGCGTGCAAGAGAACATAGGGCCAGCGTGCTTAAAAAAACAAATACGATACTATATAACCATTTCCAACTGCCCGGACACGGACCTGAGGCCAAGGCCATCCTCCACCAATGTGAGTTATTTTGGATTAGTGCAATCAACACTGCCTATCCATTTGGGTTTAACGATAACGTTTTGAACTATGGGAATATTTCGGACGGACTCTTATTTTCACTTTGGTAAAAATCCTTATCTTCAGACCTCCTTGCCCCGAAAAAACGCGGTCACGGCGTTCGGGAACGCAGAAACAGGTGCATTGACCACGACCTAATTGACTATGCATTTCACTGTGACGTTAGCACCCCCTTTGCAATTGAAGGCCTGCTTCGCGTGCTCTATAAATGCAATCACAAAACCCTCAGCGTCTTAAGGGATCGAATCGTACATGATTCACCTCCATTCAAGACTAATTGTATACTTTAGGGATTTCTTCTCAGTCGTCTTCACGCTACGGTTATACTCAACGACAATCCGATTCCACGTATTTTTGCATAAAATATCCCGATAGGGATTTCGAGGAACTCCACCTTAAGTCTTTTCCATGATACAACTGCTAGACGCCTTTTCCTCTACCAGCCTTTTCCTAAAATCGTCATAAGCTACAATTACAAACCACCGATAGGACGCCAGCTTGTCAGTCACAGTAGATTCCTAGATGAATTAAACTCTGATGTCCAGGAATTACGCAGGGGGCTCAGCATGCAGTGTAAATGCGCAGGATCTCCACACATGTATCCCCCGCGGGACGCATCATCACCAACAATTTTGCAGTCGTCACTGACAAGCGACTCCGGGATATTATGTAAAGGGTGCTAAATTTAGAATAGGTGGAAACACGACCTTTCAAGATGTGCTTAACAGCTTCAGCTCTGCCTTACAAGGTTTCCTGGAGAAGCGTACACATAAGAAAGGCATCCCATTTTCCCACTTCCTCAGTTTCAAGCAATGAGTACTCACCCTCCTTCAGTGGCGCAGAGCACAACTTGGTTCGTATACGAGATGCAGCTACTACCGGATTTCTCAAGCTGTGAACGAGCTCCATAGGGACTACGTAGTCACTACGACTGACAAAACCCCCAATAACTACATCATTGTGTGCAAGAAATTTTATGCGATGCTACATTGCACTGAGTTAGGCTTGACGAACAAAGGGGAAATTCTAGGTAATAAAGTATATACTCCCGTGACCATGAGCCTCAACCATGTGCTTGACATCCATGTCGGCATTAGCAGCCGCTTCCGAATAACCCCACTGCACTTTGTGATTGCGTCCCTACCATTCACGCTGTTCCGAAACTGCATAAGGATCCCTACGGCTACAGATTTATAGCTGAAGCTAATAATTCCTCACTACGAGGATTAGCAATTATGCTACGTCGGATCCTCGCGCATCTTACGACCCACTTCCAAAACTACTGTAATAAGT